AGATGCTGTTTATCACGTGCCAATTCTCGGATCCGTATAGTGAGTAGCACTGACTGACTTCACATTGGAGTTGAAAATCCGGATCTTATTTTTCATGCTGATTAGTGCTGTTAACCTCCACATAGACTTGAGAGTAATGAAACCTTGTCTTCCTTTTCCGATTCTGGCTTTGATATCTTCGTCAGTTCCGTCCGCTTGTTGTTGAAACGATGCTTCTCAGGTAGGTGGGTAGGCAAAGGAGGTTGTTTCTTTCAGGTTGTTCCCATTTATGCTAATTATTGTCCGTTGATATTGTTGCTGTTGGTGTTGGCCAGGAATCTTCATCACCTCTGTTTTCTCTATGTTCACCTGAAGGAAGTCCTATCTTTGCTGCTTCTTCAGCCAACTTGTTGCTTTTCACTTGCACCTCTCCAAGTTTGTGGGAAATCAGACATATATCATCATCGGCGAAGTCCAGATCCTCCAAGTCTTTTGTGTGAGTCCATTTTATGCCTGTTTCTTCATTGCCCGTTGTCTGTTGCATTACCTAATCTACTGCAATCAGGAAAATCACTGGCGATAGTTAAAACAGCCTTGTCTTACTCCCGTCTTCACTTTTAAGAATTCCATAAGTTTCCTATTGTGGATTACTTGTCATGCAACATTGTCATATAACTTTTGGATAAGATGTATAACTGTCTGTGTCACTCCATAGTAGCGAAGTAGTTAGCAAATCACCTCTCGATTGACACTGTCGAATGCCCTCCCATATTATACTGAATTCGTTTTTGAATAAACAATGAGAATTAACAGTAGGAAGACAAGCATACGTTAGACCAACTGCAGCACTCAAAACGGTCTACAGGCGCAAAAACCAACAAGTGGATAGAAGAAGCAGTAGCGTGAAGACAGGACTACCAGTAAGTATAGAGAAAGAATTCTGAGGTGATGAAAACTCCTGATCAACAACAAACACCAATCCATAGGAATAATTCCTTGTTTTCATTTACTTCACCTAGACAACATCTTTTCAATTATTGAAGAGATATGCACAAGGATTTCAAAGTCAATCAAACTCATGAAAGATGACAGGCTTGCATTAACCTGAAATCAAAGTGTGAATATCTGTAGTGTTCAGTAGAAAAACAAAACATGAAATTTTAACGTTAATAATTAAGTCAATGCTTCTAGCTGATTCACAGATAATGGTGCATGTGTCAGTCAAAACAACTCGGCCAACCTTTTGTAGACATTCACCAAGAGAGTTGCCTTCACTTGATAGTAGAGATCAGATGGTTCGGCCAAAAAAACAACAACAAGGATCTGTGGCGAAAAGAAAACCAAATTAATATCTTGTTGACTGGACTGGATGCACAATAACAGGGATTTTCACACTCATCAGACAAGTTATCAAGTCGAGCCCGAATGAGAAGTGATGAGCTGTGTATGTGTGTGTGTTTAACAGTGGTTTATTATTATTATTGTTCCCTCAGGTTCCGAGTGGAGTGTATAGGATTTCAGTCACACATCTCTAATTCATCCTGTTCTCCTCTGTGATCGTCTTCAACTGGCTCGGCACTTTCCTACAGTCTTTCATCTTCTCCTCGCACGATCTTCTCAATATCACCCTCGAAGCAATGATTAACTCGTCAGTTCCCAATTGGGGTTCCACTAGAGCACTGGCTTGCCGTGCGATGTCATTCAGCGACCGTTTAAGCGTGTTCTCAGTCCAACTACATTTTCTCCTGCATATTCGTGGAGCAGCAGGCTTTTGGTTAGTTTGTTTCCAGAGTTTCTTGTTGCCAACTACTTCTAGACACTGATATGTCTAGCCAGCAATATGGGCAGCTGTCGACAAAAGTCTGCAGTAACATGTCAGGAATACTTTTATGACCCGTATATAAGAACAAACTCACATAACATTTGTGTTTAAAAGCTGAATTTCTTTCTTTTTTCTGTGGAGTACAGAAGATTTCTAAAACCGATATCAGAGTGATGAAGAACTTTCTTGACTTTCCGATTCTAGCTGGTTTTAATATCCTCATCCATACCAACGCCTGTAGTTGAAGTAATCCTTCCTAGATAAGTGGAAGAATTGACCTCTTCCAAGCTTATTCCTTTGATAGGAATTGGTACTTAAAGTGTTCTCTTCACTGCCTGCTTTTTCTTCTTTGAGTTAGTTGGTTTTCGCCGGTAGGTAAGTCTTCGAGATTTTGTGGGTGACATTAAACACGCAGAATATAGATCTTCTAGAATCTTCATATCGGTCTGCCCAGCTTTACTCCCCACTTCTCACCCCCCACAGACTGATAGAGCACAATTAGGAACATTGACTTGGAGAAGACCATCTGTAGAGGAATGGAGAAAGCTTCTTTGCATTTATACAGCTATCGACAGATGATTACAGAGAAGCGAACCCCCCCCCGTTGAGATATGCCACCGAATACTTATATTCCACTCGAAGCGTAAGGAACGAACAAAAACGATAATGTAAAAAATGAGGAAACGCCTATAGACTGCGTAGTCAACCTATCCAAACAAACACTATCAAAAATGGAACAACAACTACCACAAAAAAATTAAACAACGACACCGGAGATGCTTCGAAAAGTGATTTGTTCGCTGCCTTTGAATCATTACACAAATCATCAAACTTGAATGAGGAAATACAGGAAGAGATACGCCAAACAATTGTACCAATGGTCAAACAGAAAAAAAAAAACACAACTCAACTCTCAAAAACTAAAAGCCCTCAAAAGCTGAGAAGTAGGAAGGACGTCGCCAGTCTACCAGCTGTCAAAGGAAGAACAACAGTAGTCATGGACAGAGAAGAATATACCAAGAAAGCTGAAGAACTACTCAAAGACGAGGATGTATATCAACAACTCCCAACAAATCCCATACAAACATTGGACAACCACATCCAAAGAACCTTAAAGAAGCTCACGAAAACTGGACAGATCACAAAACAAGACCAATGGCGAATGAAATCCAATGTAACAGTCCTACCCCGATCCTACGGCAAACCCAAAATAGACAAGCCAAATATCCCGTTACGACCAATTGTATCACTCCCAGGAACTCCAACATATAATTTATCCAAAGAATTATACAGAAAACTAAAACACCTGACGGAATCTTGTGATCACTCCATCAACTCTGCTACCCAATTCCTAGAGAAAATCAGAGGCATCCAAATAGATGAACAAGAAATAATGGTATCCTTTGACGTGACAGCATTATATACCTCATCGGACAAAAACTAGCAAAAGAAACCATGGAACAATTACTTAGCAACGATGAACACCTTCTACAACAATCAAAAATGCAACACACAAGCTGGATGGAATGCATAAATCTATGCCTAACAACATACTTCCAATTCAACGGCCAAATATATGAACAAGTCAAAGGAACACCCATGGGATCGCCAATATCAGGTTTGATTGCAGAAGCAGTGATGCAAAGACTCGAAAACACAATTCTACCAAAGATCAAACCCAAGATTTGGAGACGCTACGTAGACGACACATTTGTAATAATCAGAAAAAACGAGTTAGATAAAACTCACAACTTAATAAACAACGTCTTCAACGATATCAAATTCACAAGAGAAGAGGAATCCGAGGACCAAATCCCATTTTTGGACGTCTTAGTCAAGCGAACAACCACCGGGGAATTAGAAACTCAAGTTTATAGGAAATCATCTCACACAGACCAAATCCTGAATTATAACAGCCACAATCCAAACACGCAAAAAAGGAATTGCATACAAACACTATTCAAGAGCGCCAACCAGGACTCATTGCAGCACTCCCACCTTAAGGGAAATTGAAGAAAAGTATCTCATGGACGTCTTCCAAAAGAATGGATATCCACGGAATTTCATCAAAAGACATATACCCCCAAGCCAACCTGTCAAACCAAAAGCCCCCAATGAAAGCACAAGGAAAATCGCCTTACCATATATAAAGGATATCTCAGAAATCACTACAAGACTCTTCAAACCTTTAGGAATTGACGTCGTACACAAACCAACAGTCACTTCACTCAATTCTATGTCAACCAAAAGACTCAACAGCGAAAGAAGATAAAACCAACATCATCTACAAAATAAATTATAACAACTGCGAAAAACACTACACTGGCCAAAGTGGACGTCCCCTTCTCCATCGTCTTAGTATCCATGACCATAAGCTGGCCATCAAGTGACATGATATCTACTCCCTCATATCACTTACTGCATAAAGACAACCATGGACATCAATTCGACTGGGATAACGTTCAAATATTAGACAACAAGAATGCTAGAGAATTTTTAGAAGCTTGGCATTCCAGTAAATCATCAATCAATAGACACATAGAGATAGACAAAATTTATCAACCAATAAGAAAGAAACCTCACACACAAAGGGTCAAAGTTCAAGTCAAAGAAACAATCAGTTCCAATACAAGTAACCTAGAAGGTGTGAAAGCACACAAAAACAACCAATCAGTCCAAGGTCACCAGGAGAGATGTATAATAAACTCGTGGAGAAATCTGAGAGCTCACTTCAACAAACTGAAGTATTCGCTGAAGATGTCACCTAGTAAGGTGATGAAAGCTTCGCAAATTAACCATCCAGCTCAGAGAACACAACCACATCAAAAAGAGGAAACTATATGAAATAAATAGACATTTATTTGACGAGATTAAAAATAAATCAATTTCTCGAAAAAGCAACGTTTCTAATTAGATGATTTCCATCGCCATTTGGGTTTTTCTTTGTACAACTAAGTAGTTCAGTAATCAATAATAAAAAAAATTTAAATAATAAGGACAGCATTGGCTAAGAGCACTCAATGTTAGGGCACAATGATAATAATAATTATAATAACCTTTGAAATTGATAAAGTCTACCCTTCTCTTTGAATATTATACAATTTCTAAACAATACAACTGGTATTATTTCCATCCCCAACATTTTCATAGCTGCTTTTCTTTTATTTATTCACACTTTTTGTTTGTATATTTGTTTGTTTTAATCAGATCGACATTTACCGTTACCATGGTTATGATTGTTGACTTCCGGGCTATGATGCTGAGCACTTATTGATGCAATAATTTTAGGCGTATATTCATAAGTCCATTTTTCAGCTGTAACGCATAACCAAACACCAAACATTGGTCCTAACCAATAGACAATAATATGATGAATTGGTGATACTGTACCAAGTCCCCAGGATTGAATAAATGCATTGGCTGGATTTAAATACATTCCTGTCCATGTAAGACCTTTTGGAAGAGACATTACAAAAATAATAATAATAATAAATAGAAAGTTTTCAAATGTAAGTTGAATAACTGTGCACATTTTCGCCTTTTATCATTAGTTGTCTGGCTTTTCGAAGACTTTCATAAATCGCATTCTAACGACAGAAGACAAGCACTACTAGGCACCAGATCGTTTACTGAGAAAATCAACAGATATTATTTATAGATTTTTATGTACATTATTATTACCGTTATTGTTAGCAGAGAAGCGACGTCTTCTGACTGGTTGTTTTCCTGCTGAAGGTTATTCTGTCACCTGTGTGTTGCCGTTTCTAAGACAGTCCGCTTATATATCCGTGAACGGCATCCGCCCACACTAAGTCTGCTGTGATTAGTTGTTGAGTTCCTCAAGGTCAGGCTTCGTTCTTCGTTTTTCTCACGATCCCGATTTAGGATGTAAACACTGACGTCTTTTTTTTAGGTTGCACACTAGTCAGTAAATAGTGTAATGTGTCTAGTCCTATCTTCGTTGAGGACTGAATTCTATCAGTCAAGCTTGCAATGTGGCCACCATGCTCGCCATGACGATGCACTGTGAATTGTTGACATTAGATGGTTGGAGGCAGTTGGTCACAGGAGGTCTTGAACCTAGATACGTGCCAGTTGGCGAACCTGAATAGCTCAGTGGTAACGTCTCTGACTCACTGTAGCACTGGCTGGTGACGCGGGTTCGAATCTTAGAAGGGACATGAGCTGTTCCTTCAAGGGATTGCAGATACGTCTTGCTGACTGACTGTTGAGTGCCAACTAGCATGATACTTAGGTCAAGCAAGGCTTTCTGTGGCTGATTGCCTCCAACTATCTTATACCAACAATTGACGTCAATTGTTGTCTACAATATTGTCTTGCAGACAGCTCTTACCACAGCATCATCTACTTTTTTTCACTGGTGACTCTAAACTATTGCGATTCAGATGGACTGATGTCCTACTGAACTTGACGAGAAATTAACAGATGAGCGGAAATATGGACTCAGTACATGAACTACATTGCAGATTCCATCGAGATTTAGTCTTTCAGTAGTGTATGGATCATAGGCTTATAGAAAGGAGGAGTTATATATCTTTGCCTCCAAAGCCTCAGGATGGTCGGGGGTGGGTGTCTTGCGCTGCGGGCTAGCCACCCCTCCGTACACCTCTTGAAATGCTCCCATATGACCGTGCGTCTTACATAGCCTCTCCTGAGGAAGTCCTACTCACTGCCTTCACGTGGCGGAGGTGTTTTTCACCAAAGTGAGAGGGCAAAAGCGGATGCCCGGCGCTCTTCACCGGGTTGACTGTCCATTGGATGACAGTCTAGGGGAGATGGTTAAACCCTGATTCCAAACCTCCAACGACTGGCGTATGAAGCTCACCGGAGCTCACCGGCAGACGTATGGACAAAGAGCTTATTGGATGCCCTGGATGTCTGGCCCCATTCAAAAAGGCGTATGAACCGGACTCCGGTCACCGGCTGCCAATGGATAATAGTGGACTCCCTACTCCACTCCTATTGCCTTGTAGGTCACACTTGGCTGTGTAAAGGCTAGAGCTGCACTCTCAAACAAAAGGCCGAGCGATGCTGGGGACATCACTCGTACCCAATTCCCATGAAACTTCATCAACTCTCTTACAAACATTCGAGATGTTCATGAAACCGGTTCATCCTCCCGTAGGAGATAGCCGAAGTAAAGTAAAGTAAAGTAAGTAAGTTATATATCTTTACAGAGATATGTAGCAGCTGTAGATGGATGTGTGTTCAAATGTCCGTATTGTCTTTGCATATAATTTTTTCGAGAAGGTATTGTGCTGTGTGCTACTGATAAGATTTATCAATAGTATGTATAAAGATATGTTCAACAGCACAAAAATCGTCAAATAGCAGGGAGATACATTTGATGTCAGAGGAAGTAAATGAGACGTGATAGGAACACAGAGAAATACAACATGAAGGAAGGCGAGAAGTAGGACAACACGAAAGATCTTTGCAAATGATGATTTGAAGATGAAATGCACATAATTTCACCAATCCTTTTGTCTTCTACCGTTACAGTGTTTTTTTAACTTCACCGATAATGTAGGGGAAGTGAACAGGTCATGAAATAGCTTGATATGAACATTTCTGAATGAATTTTTGTAATGAAATTGGCTCGACTGTTTCATTGAAGACTGTAATAAGGCAAAGGAAGGTATTCTTGGGAAACATATGACGGCAATATCCTGTATAATTATTTTTTAGCACTATACTTGATTTCTAAATAAGACGATTTTAAATTACGCGCTTTCACTGTGGCCTCATCTGATTGGTTGACCAGGGTCACTTAGGCAACAACTACAAACGGCACACAGATGAGGATGTAGAAAGCAGGATGTGAAAGGCAAGGTATACCCTTAGTTGTCTTCAGTGAGTATGAAAATCTACTGCATTCAGAACAGGTCAAAACACGATCTAAGCCTTCAACACTAATGCCGGACTAATGCTTCTCTCTATAGTTTTATGTATAAACTCTAGTCATAATTTGACTGTCGTAAGGATAGTTTTTAGGAAGCTGCCTCGATACTATGGATTACGATAAACATTTAACAGTCTAATTCAACAGCTGTATGATATTGTCACATGTTAAGTGATCCTCAAAGTCAAGCTCAGGAAAAGCTCTGAACTTGAAGACAGGAGTGAGATAAAACCGTCTCTTAATACCGATAATATTCCTGATTTAGGTGGACTGGATCATGCAATAGACTTTGAGTGGGGAGCAAGAAAACAGGACTACTATAGACTTATGAGAAGACTCTGGAAGATCTGAACTTCAGGGATAATTTATTTTTAATTTGTTACACAATCTCAGAGATCTGCAGGTGAATTGGGAGAAGTTGGAATTCATTGGCGCAGACCATTGATTGGGTCCCAGTGGCTTAATGGTCTCCGAGCTCACTAGCCTTGTGACCAGAAGTTCTTGTTTTCAAATGCTGGCAGTGGATGGGTACTGATGAAGAGTCTCGAAATGGGACGAAATGGTCAGCTGTCAAGCACTCCCAGATTTTCCAATGGTTCTCTAACTGATGTTAGCTCATGATGAAATCCTGTAAGAAAATCAACGAGTTGCCAAGAGGGGTTGGCAGCAAAGACACATAACTTCAAGCGAACCTAAAGAAGACAGAAGCGATGAAGGTGTCTGATCAAGAACAACAGCAACAAGCATAAATCGCCACCAGTGGAGAAATCCAGAAGAAAGTCACCTCTTTCAGTTATCTAGATAGTATCGTTTCATCTGCAGGCTTCACGGACTTGGCACATCACCAGAAGAATTTCGAACAGGCTCCAGACACTTACTAACAACTACCCTACTCGAACCCATGCAGCCAGGAAAGAGCTTATGCAGAGTTGTCATGTGAATTGGTGACAACCAGTGGTGTCCGTCAGGGACGCCCACTATCCCTACTTCTATTCAATTTCATCATAGATGTATTAATTGAATTGACCCTAACTGACTTAAGAGACTCAGGGATTGACTTGTTACCCAAGGAATAATCTCGTTGACTTAGAATATGCAGATGATATATTCCTGCCTTCTAAGTGAAGTTACTCACAAAGTGCAAAGTGGAAGATATGAAAGGTTTGCTAGCTAACTGATCTTGATCACAGGTGTCTGCCTTCAATCTACATCCCGTGTTAGATGGCGATATAATAATGTGAGTAATATTGCGTTGGTTAGGCATCGGCCGAATGCTAAGTAAGGAAGGGAAACCAATCGACCAGGTCATGAAGTTACACTGAGTGAGGTAGGACATGTGTAACGTATATATGCCTAGCCATCGCCATCCTCGATGGGCAATGTTAGCTGACAAAGGGTCAGACTAGAAAAAAGCTAGCGGCAGTCAAACCAAAACATGTCAGCAGTCAATGAAATCCACAACAGTTAAAGCCAGTAACGTAGGAAGGTGTAGACTTCCTGACTGGCTGGTTCAGGTCCTCAGGACGGTAAAAATAATGAAGGCTGAGGACAAATGGTGATACGGCTCAAAATCGTTCTCAGTGATGCCAGGCGCAGATGCATTCACTCTTTGTGATTTATAATATCCAATAGAAATCTATTGTTCTTCCATATTATTATTATTTTAACCTCATATCTCTGTTTACTGCCTCTGTTTTTCTCTTCTCTTTACTTTATTCTCTACTTTGTGTGCTAGGTGCTAAGACTGCTGCACATTTGTGCAACGTTCTACGTTGAAACCAATCAGCCAGTCAGTCACTAACAGCTACATTCTCTCAAGTCTGACGATCAGATGGCTAGCGGGAAATGGTTGACAGAAAGGAACTCCGGAAGATAGTGAAAAAACCAAGAGCCTATTGTCCTACAAATATGCATTAAAGAAGTGAAGATGGTTTCAACAGATGCTGAAACAACTGTAGAATGACAGTATGAGCCAGGCGTTCAAATGGAACCTGTACATGGAACTACGAGTTAGGTTTCACTTCAAGGGTGAAATTGAGGAAATCACGTGAGCATATCAACATCTTATAGACGATCGTTGAGTCAGCTAAAAAAGACTTCGGAGAACCGGATAAAATGCAGATATGCTGGCGAAGCTGAATAGTCTACTCTGAACCTAAGGGAATAGTATACTAATAATAATGGACACTAATGCATCAGAGAAGGAATAGTTCCATCAAGAATAAAGACGATTTAATAGATTTAGGAGATTACAATGAGTAAATGCAGCTGTGCCACAGAGAGTGATCTCGAGCATCCTAAACAGACAGTCTGCTCCTCCCTACATAATTTAAACCAACATGCAATGGCTTCATAGATTGACGCCATATTTTGATTTAATCACTTCTAACTCTTTGACAACCTCATTCCTATCACAAATAGCATTAGTCATCGTCAAAATCGATGGTGCAGTATGTATGTCGCATATTCTAATCACCTCAATCTATATAATTTCGTAACATCAGATAGTCTGAAAATCAACACAATAATTAGTCTGAATAATAACT